ATTATGTTTTATTTTTATTATTTTATTATTTCCCTTCTACGTGACTTTACCGAAAGAACCAAGAAGATGAATCCCTGCAGTCACGAAAGCTTTACATCGAAATTTTAAGCCACAACCGTCGTTGATAATCATCGGCAGTGCTCTATCCACTGCTAGATGAAGCCGTCATCCCTCGAGGCCTTGAGAAGCAACACTCTCTTGCTGCTGCTGCTACTGCTGCTGCTGCTGCTGCTACTGCTGCTGCTGCTGTTGCTGCGTCTGAATGAGACTCTGTCTTCTCGACAGACCTGTTCGGTAAAGTCACGTAGAATGGAAATAATAAAATAATAGAAATAAAACATAATAAAATAATTCTCACGACGTTTCGGCCACAACACAAGCAGCCGTCCTCAGGTGAAAACCAGGTCTGTCGGGGAGACAGCGTCTGAATTGTGGCTTGCTGGGTGAATATCGATGCGCTCAACTATTTTGTTTTGCACGCGACGCGTGTTGCGTGTAGTGGAAGCAGCCGTGCAGGAGATGGGAAGAGCTCAGGAGGACTTCACAAACAAGTCGGCGATTATAGAAAGCCAGGTGGGTGTGAATTCATTGGCTGATCGCTTCTGCTCACATTTTAAATGCTTAAAAAGTGAAATTTTAAATGCTTAAAATGTCACTTATTTCCACTTTAAAACGTATTTAGTGCCCTAAATGCATTTGTTCAACACAATATATGGGATTCATCTTCTTGGTTCTTTTGGTAAAGTCACGTAGAAGGGAAGTAATAAAAAAATAGTCAAACGCTGTCGCCTCGACAGACCTGGTTTTCACCTGAGGACGGCTACTTGCGTTGTGGCCGAAACGTCGTGAGAATAATTTTATTTTTTATTTTTATTATTTTATTACTTCCCTTCTACGTGACTTTACCGAAAGAACCAAGAAGATGAATCCCTGCAGTCACGAAAAAAGCTTTAAATCGAAATATATGGGATGTACACATTTTCACCTCTTTATCTTGATTTTTGAAAGTTATTTTCATTCCGGTAAACAAAACTTATTTGAATTCAATGATGACTTGCAAACCAGAAAACTTGCCTTGCCCGGCAGTAGGTCATTTCATAGATTCGTGTATCTTGATTTTTGAAAGTTATTTTCATTCCGGTAAACAAAACTTATTTGAATTCAATGATGACTTGCAAACCAGAAAACTTGCCTTGCCCGGCAGTAGGTCATTTCATAGATTCGTGTATCTTGATTTTTGAAAGTTATTTTCATTCCGGTAAACAAAACTTATTTGAATTCAATGATGACTTGCAAACCAGAAAACTTGCCTTGCCCGGCAGTAGGTCATTTCATAGATTCGTGTATCTTGATTTTTGAAAGTTATTTTCATTCCGGTAAACAAAACTTATTTGAATTCAATGATGACTTGCAAACCAGAAAACTTGCCTTGCCCGGCAGTAGGTCATTTCATAGATTCGTGTATCTTGATTTTTGAAAGTTATTTTCATTCCGGTAAACAAAACTTATTTGAATTCAATGATGACTTGCAAACCAGAAAACTTGCCTTGCCCGGCAGTAGGTCATTTCATAGATTCGTGTATCTTGATTTTTGAAAGTTATTTTCATTCCGGTAAACAAAACTTATTTGAATTCAATGATGACTTGCAAACCAGAAAACTTGCCTTGCCCGGCAGTAGGTCATTTCATAGATTCGTGTATCTTGATTTTTGAAAGTTATTTTCATTCCGGTAAACAAAACTTATTTGAATTCAATGATGACTTGCAAACCAGAAAACTTGCCTTGCCCGGCAGTAGGTCATTTCATAGATTCGTGTATCTTGATTTTTGAAAGTTATTTTCATTCCGGTAAACAAAACTTATTTGAATTCAATGATGACTTGCAAACCAGAAAACTTGCCTTGCCCGGCAGTAGGTCATTTCATAGATTCGTGTATCTTGATTTTTGAAAGTTATTTTCATTCCGGTAAACAAAACTTATTTGAATTCAATGATGACTTGCAAACCAGAAAACTTGCCTTGCCCGGCAGTAGGTCATTTCATAGATTCGTGTATCTTGATTTTTGAAAGTTATTTTCATTCCGGTAAACAAAACTTATTTGAATTCAATGATGACTTGCAAACCAGAAAACTTGCCTTGCCCGGCAGTAGGTCATTTCATAGATTCGTGTATCTTGATTTTTGAAAGTTATTTTCATTCCGGTAAACAAAACTTATTTGAATTCAATGATGACTTGCAAACCAGAAAACTTGCCTTGCCCGGCAGTAGGTCATTTCATAGATTCGTGTATCTTGATTTTTGAAAGTTATTTTCATTCCGGTAAACAAAACTTATTTGAATTCAATGATGACTTGCAAACCAGAAAACTTGCCTTGCCCGGCAGTAGGTCATTTCATAGATTCGTGTATCTTGATTTTTGAAAGTTATTTTCATTCCGGTAAACAAAACTTATTTGAATTCAATGATGACTTGCAAACCAGAAAACTTGCCTTGCCCGGCAGTAGGTCATTTCATAGATTCGTGTATCTTGATTTTTGAAAGTTATTTTCATTCCGGTAAACAAAACTTATTTGAATTCAATGATGACTTGCAAACCAGAAAACTTGCCTTGCCCGGCAGTAGGTCATTTCATAGATTCGTGTATCTTGATTTTTGAAAGTTATTTTCATTCCGGTAAACAAAACTTATTTGAATTCAATGATGACTTGCAAACCAGAAAACTTGCCTTGCCCGGCAGTAGGTCATTTCATAGATTCGTGTATCTTGATTTTTGAAAGTTATTTTCATTCCGGTAAACAAAACTTATTTGAATTCAATGATGACTTGCAAACCAGAAAACTTGCCTTGCCCGGCAGTAGGTCATTTCATAGATTCGTGTATCTTGATTTTTGAAAGTTATTTTCATTCCGGTAAACAAAACTTATTTGAATTCAATGATGACTTGCAAACCAGAAAACTTGCCTTGCCCGGCAGTAGGTCATTTCATAGATTCGTGTATCTTGATTTTTGAAAGTTATTTTCATTCCGGTAAACAAAACTTATTTGAATTCAATGATGACTTGCAAACCAGAAAACTTGCCTTGCCCGGCAGTAGGTCATTTCATAGATTCGTGTATCTTGATTTTTGAAAGTTATTTTCATTCCGGTAAACAAAACTTATTTGAATTCAATGATGACTTGCAAACCAGAAAACTTGCCTTGCCCGGCAGTAGGTCATTTCATAGATTCGTGTATCTTGATTTTTGAAAGTTATTTTCATTCCGGTAAACAAAACTTATTTGAATTCAATGATGACTTGCAAACCAGAAAACTTGCCTTGCCCGGCAGTAGGTCATTTCATAGATTCGTGTATCTTGATTTTTGAAAGTTATTTTCATTCCGGTAAACAAAACTTATTTGAATTCAATGATGACTTGCAAACCAGAAAACTTGCCTTGCCCGGCAGTAGGTCATTTCATAGATTCGTGTATCTTGATTTTTGAAAGTTATTTTCATTCCGGTAAACAAAACTTATTTGAATTCAATGATGACTTGCAAACCAGAAAACTTGCCTTGCCCGGCAGTAGGTCATTTCATAGATTCGTGTATCTTGATTTTTGAAAGTTATTTTCATTCCGGTAAACAAAACTTATTTGAATTCAATGATGACTTGCAAACCAGAAAACTTGCCTTGCCCGGCAGTAGGTCATTTCATAGATTCGTGTATCTTGATTTTTGAAAGTTATTTTCATTCCGGTAAACAAAACTTATTTGAATTCAATGATGACTTGCAAACCAGAAAACTTGCCTTGCCCGGCAGTAGGTCATTTCATAGATTCGTGTATCTTGATTTTTGAAAGTTATTTTCATTCCGGTAAACAAAACTTATTTGAATTCAATGATGACTTGCAAACCAGAAAACTTGCCTTGCCCGGCAGTAGGTCATTTCATAGATTCGTGTATCTTGATTTTTGCAAGTTATTTTCATCCGGAACAAACTTATTGGATAAATGATGACTTGGCAAAACAGAAAACTGCCTTGACAGGCAGTAGTAGGTCATTTCATAGATTCGCCCTGTATCTTTATTTTTGAAAGTTTATTTTTTCATCTCCGAGCTACACCCTAAAACTTATTTGAATTCAATGATGACTTGCAAAACCAGAAAAACTTGCCTTGTCCGTCAGTGTCATTTCATGAGATTCGTGTATCT